CTGCGGACACAAAGGTAACATTATAAATCATTATATACATGTATATTGTATGTGTATGTATTTGCGTCTGAGTGAGTGAGTGAGTGAGTGAGTGAGTGAGTGAGTGGTGAGTGAGTGTGTGTGTGTGTGTGTGTGTGTGTGTGTGTGTGTGTGTGTGTGTGTGTGTGTGTGTGTGTGTGTGTGTGTGTGTGTGTGTGTGTGTGTGTGTGTGTGTGTGTGTGTGTGTGCGAATGTGTGTGTGTGTGCGATGTGTGTGTGTGCGAATGTGTGTGTGTGTGTGTGTGTGTGTTGTGTGTGTGTGTGTGTGTGTGTGTGTGTGTGTGTGTGTGTGTGTGTGTGTGTGTGTTGTATTATTTGCAACATGAAATATACTTCTTTCGACAATTAGCGCAGGATATGCCAAAGATGACAAGTCGGTCTATCGACTTTCTGTAACGTGTTCACAGAAATATCAACCTTAGGATTATTTGATTTACATAAAGGAATAAATGTTTTGAACATCTACATATATACATGCATACGTATTTATAAATATATATATATATATATATATATATATATATATATATATATATATATATATATATATATAAACAGAGAGAAAGACAAAACTAACAGACAGCATAGACAGGCAGACAGATTTCATACCCACGTACATGAGCGACTGGGGTCCGCTTTCCAGTCACATCTTGCTCGTGGTGACTGACCTGACCAAGGCTACCTGACCATAGCTACCCAACCGAGACCTGCGAGCCCAAGGTCAGGTAATCGATCAGCACCCCAGGGAATACGACCATTGCGTCCGCGGATCGAAATGAAAACATTCCCGCAACAGAAACGAAATTAAAAAAAAAAGTGACGTTTCGAACAATGAGTCCAGCGTTCCACAACAAACGTAATAACAAGAAAAATGAAATAACCAATTCTTCGACTTATTCCTACGACGAAAACAAACTTAGGAAAAAATCGAAGTCGGCCATAACCGCATAATCTAATCTTATCTATAAACTAAACTCAACCGAGACAAGACACCGTTGATCCACGCAAAGTGCACTGGGAAAAGCCGCGGATATTTCAACAATATACCATAATGTGAGTGCGCGTGCATATGCCTTTAGCTGGGTGACTGTATGTGCTTAGATTTTTGAGACTCTTCGCCTAGAACAGCAACTGCGTAGCATTAAAATTACTAACTACAACACCTACACACGCATCCACATGTGTGCTCACCTGTATGCGTTCACACTAATAGAACGGCACAATATAAAAATAAGCATAAACATGAAATTAAATTATATATATGTGTGTGTGTGTGTGTGTGTGTGTGTGTGTGTGTGTGTGTGTGTGTGTGTGTGTGTGTGTGTGTGTGTGTGTATGTGTGTGTGTGTGTGTGGAGAGGAGGAGAGGGAGAGAGAGGAGAGGGAGAGGGTGAGGGAGAGGAGAGGGAGAGGAGAGGGTGAGGGTGGAGGGTGAGGGAGGGTGAGGGAGGGGAGGGAGAGGAGAGGAGAGGGAGAGGGAGAGGGAGAGGGAGAGGAGAGGGAGAGGAGAGAGAGAGAGAGAGAGGAGAGAGAGGGAGAGAGAGGGAGAGAGGAGAGGGGAGAGAGAGAGAGAGAGAGAGAGAGAGAGAGAGAGGGAGAGAGAGAGAGAGAGAGAGAGAGAGAGAGGGGAGAGAGGGAGAGAGGGAGAGGGAGAGAAGGGAGAGGAGAGAGAGAGAGAGAGAGAGAGAGAGAGAGAGAGAGAGAGAGAGAGAGAGAGAGAGAGAGAGAGAGAGAGAGAGAGAGAGAGAGAGAGAGAGAGAGAGAGAGAGAGAGAGAGAGAGGAGAGAGAGTATTAAGACAGTGCTCAATGGAAGAGTTTCTCCGACTGCCCAAGGTCAAGTGTGATCGAATGCCTATAATAAATTTGATATTTTATCTTACTTGTAAACATTCCAAGCAATACGCAAAAATAGCATAGCCAAAGGAACTAAACAAATAAGTATAAATAGCATTTATGGACTAGGACCTCGGCATTCAATGCACTAATTAATCATTGCTAATGAACCCTTGATATACCTTCTATTCAGCTCAAATGAGCATAGCATTACTTGAAAATCACCTCAATCATTCAGAATTGACAAATAATGACCTTGCATATCATATAGGTTTCTCTTCCCCTTCCTCTTCCTTACCCACCCACCCCTCCAGCTTCCCAACCCCTCTTCCCCATTCCCACTCCCACCCCCTCTCCCCCACTCTCCCTTCCAACCCCTCTCCCCCTCCCACTCCCTCTCCTTCTCTCCCCCTTCCTTCCCTCTTTCTATCACTCCCCTCTCCCCCACTCCAACTCCCACCCCTCTCCCCCACCCTCTCTCTCCCACTCCAACGCATACAGCTCGCAGAGAAAACGTCCCCGGGTTCGACCGGTCCAAAACACAAACGGTTATTGGTAAATCCACGAAGCCAGTTCCTGCAACACGAATTCTAGCGGGCACGTGAGCTAACCACGGTGCCTGTCCGACAAGGTAAGGAGCCATTTTTCCCACTGCCAAGCTCGTGTATGATTTTCAATATTTCCCCCCACAGTATTTGCTTGGTCAGAGGTTGAAATTCAAACTAACATATTATAAAATATCATATCCAACCACACATACACACGATATAATATTTACATACATACACAAATACACACATTATATATATATATATATATATATATATATATATATATATATATATATATATATATATATAATGGCGTAATATATATATATATATATATATATATATATATATATATATATATATATAATGGCGTATATATATATATATATATATATATATATATATATATATGATATGTATATACAATATCCTATTATATATCTGCAGGTGTGCGTGTTACGGATATTAATCTCGTGATCCTCATATGGCAACATCAGCCATCCGACAAAAGACTGGCTACATTTCGGTTCTGCTCCAATGAAGGAACTTGAAACATGTGATCAGTTTCCAATAAAATAATATCCCCCATACATGAAAAATATCGCTTTGCAAGCAAGACAAAATGACTTCATTTAACGTTAAAATGACGCATTTTACCTAAAAAGGCGGTATTCACGAAGGATCATAACGTAGGTTATATCATCATACCACATTGCAGTCAATAACACTAGCAATGTGTTAAATTACATATAATATACATACAATAAGGTATATATCCAAAACCTGGCCGAAAGCTAACCTAAATCTCTCGAATCCAGTTTGCACAATCGCCGAGCCAACGATTCCCTGACCTACGGTAGCGCCGCCACGGACAACTCGGCGCCAAAGCATTTCAACCAGTAAAAAAAACTGGACCAGCCTCCCTTTTGAGTATTTCACCGCTGCGCGACCTAACGAAATAAATCGAAGTCATTCCCTTGAGAATTCGCGGCTCAGGAGTTCCCGACCGCGGTAAGATTCGCTTTTGGTCAGTAACGACGACACTGGGTCCCCTAGTATTTCGACTCGCCCCTTGCTTGCGGCTTAATTTACAATCCTTTGCAAAAAAAAAGGGACAGTGGCGCCTCGGGGGGTTTTCGCACGGCGCGGTGGCTCGGGATCCCAAGGTCATCTCTCTCTCTACAGCAACAGCGACAGGAGATTCTGACAGATTAGCACTTACGCAGTCTTGGAACACGGCACTGATATTGTCTTGGAATGATCTCCGTTGCTAACCCACACATAGACACGCGAGGTCCCCCCCCCCCCTGAGGCGACCGGTCCAAGAAAGAGAACGCATACCCAGTTATTTATCTACCGTAAATAAAAAAATAAAAAATAATAAAAAAATTAAAAAACATGCAATAAACACCATGTTCCTCAGGCGGTCTACGAGGAGGATTGCGTCAGCCTCCCCGAGATAATAAGCAAACGGCATTTTTAGGAACTTTCCGTCGACCACCGCTCACAAACGAAGTCCTGTGAATCTTTAACAAAAATAAATCTCCTTACCAATCATAATAACCACGATGTCATAACTTCCACATACAACATTAATCGAGTTTTAGTGACCATACGTGCGTGCGAATGACATATCAAGTAAACTTTGCATTTTACATTTTAAAAACTCATATCGCAAATCATACCAAGAATTACAATCTTAACAAAGAACACTGACCGTGTCATTTAGGCGTGCACATCCGGTATTCCCAGAGCACAGACAAAACACAGCTGGCAAGTTACTTTCGGTCAGCGTGAGTTTTCCCCGCAAGGCACCTCAAAACCACTCCTCTAATGCAAATGAAAGCCTCGGAAAAAAAAACTCGTCCATGCCACTTTCTATACAGATGACATGATCGACTGATGCTGTAATGTAAACGGTCTGGCGCACATACGCTTGTATGTTGTCCAGTTCGGTATAGAATTTTCTTTTTTTTTAAATCTAGGCAATTAGTTACACGTAAAGCCAGTTTTTGTGTACCGATGCCGTAAAAGAAAAAAAATACGGCAACCATAATTGCATCCTTCCCCTTACAAGACATTCGCACACAGTCCCTCTCATTCTCTCGACTTATTCCTTGCTCTCCCTCTCCCTCTAAAATCCTTCATTCCAGCTGTCTTCCTTTCTCCTTTTCTCACTTCTCTCTCCTATTCCTCTTTCTACCCACTCCCCACGTCAATTCCCTCTCTTTCTAACCCAACCCTCCTTCCCTCCTCCTCCCTCCCTTCTCTCTCTCTCTCTCTCTTCTTTGTTTTTCACTGATATTGGTATACATATCCCAATGACATCATAACATAAAATAGATAACATTATTTTCATGAGTTGTACACACATGACAACGACTGCAATTGCGGTTTCATTTGCTGATTTGGGGGAACTAGAAAGTTTTTATCAAGAAGTTTTATTTTCATAAAAGATGCATGGCACAGCTTAAGAGTTTCTTCCCTGCTATGTACATTAATCTTTTTTACTTTAACAGTCTTCGTGTATATGAAGTTCCCATAAGCTAAAACTTGATTTTCCAGTTTTTCTAATAT